GTAATGTTAAAATGTTCACAATACCCAATGCAAGCTACAAATTTAATGCAATCCCACAGAAAGTCACATGGCACTCATCACAGACACAGCAAAGACAATGCTAAAGTTTATATGGAATCACAAAAGACACTGAATAGCCAAAACAGTCTTGAGCAAAAAGAACAAGCAATAGACATATTACCAGAATTCAAAATATACTATAAAGCTATAATAATCAGAATAGCGTGGCATTGGGATAAAACTAAAAACAGACCAATAGAACAGAATAGAAAGCCTAAGAATATACCTGCACATCTGTAGCTGACTGACTTTTGACAAAGGTGCTAAGAACACTCATTGGTGGCCAGGGATTTAGCTCAGTGGTGCCACCACCTACCTCATAGGCGCAGGGTCCTGAGTTTGATCTCCAGTACCAAAAAAAAAAAAAAAGAACACTCATTGGAGAAAGGATAGTTTCTTCAACAAATGGGGTTGGGTACATTTGATATCCATGTGCAAAAAAATGAAGCTGTTGTGGTTTGTGTCTAGATGGCCCCCCAAAGCCTCATGTGGTCATAGATGAGGCTTTTTCAAAGGTGGCTGGATCTAGAGTGTGTGATGCTGGAATCAAAGGTGTGTGATTACTAAATTAGTCCACTTATCCACTGATTGGTTTGGCATAGTTCTAGGTAGGATTAAGGCTGCTGCACCCTGGGTATGAGTGCTACCTGACCCAAGGGTAAGGATGTAATGTAAGGGCCAGAAAGAGGGTCCACTGTTTATAGTTTGCTTGCTGCCTTCAGTCTGCCCTTCCTTTGCCAGGAACTGTTGCTCCTCTGCGATGCCCTCTGCCATGCCATTCTGCCATGGAGCCAGCCAACTATGAACTGAAATCTCTACGAACTGTGAGCCAAAATAAACTTATCCTCCTTTAACTTTGGATGTTGGGTATTTTTACGAGAAAAGTAACTAAAACAAAAGCTAAACCTCCACCACACACCAGTTACAGAAATCAATCCAAAGAAGGTTAAAGACTTAAATGTGAGACCTAGAACTGTAAAAGTACAAGAAGAAAACGTTGCAGGAATGCTTCAGGACATGAGAATGGGTAAGGACTTTTTTGGATAAGACCTCAAAAGCATAGGAAACACAAGCAAAAATAGTAAAATGGGATTTCATGAAACTAAAGTCTTTTGCCCAGCCAAGTAAACAGTCAATAGCATGAATATTTGCACACTATACATCTGATAAGTGGTTACTATCAAGGATATATGAGGAACTCAACTCAGTATGGAGTTCCTTCATCAATCATAGAGGCATCTGAAAATCTGATGAAAGCATGAAGTCTTCTCCTCAGAAAAGACTCCCACACACATATGCACACATTTATCAGACACAATTTCTAAAGCTTTGCAAACTTTTTGAATTCCACTTATGTTAAAGTCCTTTCCTTTCGAAAGTCTGCCTGCAAATTCTGGATTTCTAGTTACCATTCATTTCTACCACACCATCTGTCTACAGTTTTCTGACTTCTTCAGTACATCCTTCAAGCACGTGACCTAGACCTATGGTGTCCTGCTTAGGAGGGAGCAGGTGAAGTATTATGTCCAGCAATATGCTACCTTAGGAGTAAAACAAATTGTGTCTAGTCTAGTTTAAAAAGGAAGACTCTGTTTAAGAACTACATGTCAGAAATCTTTACATCTCCTGATTAATATTCACTATTTGTGACAGACAGAATTTTTTAAACTCTTGTTAATCATCCTAAATATCCTCAACATGATGCTATTCCCACATTCTCAATGAATGAGTCAAGTCTGAAATCATTGTTGTAAGGCCTGAGCAAAGAGAATAAAAACATTTTTTCCCCCAACATGTAGGGAAAATTCTTTATCCAAGCCCATGTCACAGTCTAACTTTTCTATTTCCCCTGACTAGAAATGGTGCTTTTTGAAAACCACATCAGGCATTGAGCACTTGCACTGTTTAGAACTTAATGGCCTCCTACTCATGGTTCACAGAATGGAGTTAAAACTCCTTGAAGCTAATAATTCATCAGGAGCATCACGATGGAGCCCCACCAGGTCCCTCCTGCTTTCTCTCATTCTCCTCTCCTTTTCCCTCTCCGAACTTCCCCTAGATCTCTGAACGGGACAGGCTTCTGCATGTTGGCATCCATACCAAGGCACCTCGGGCCCACGGCTCTCACATGGAACAGTGCAACACAGCAATTTAACCTTTGGTCGTTAGATCAAATGTCTTCTCATCAGAGAGGTTTGCTCCAAACCCCAAACTAAGGTAGGAATCCCACCGCCAGCACCACCGCACCACGCCGGGTAGTCTTTGATCACCTTGTTCTCTTTCCCTCACACTCTTCACATTTGACTATAATGACGGTTCCATGTCTATCTTCCTGCGAGTCTGTAAATTCTGGACTACTGGAAATCAATGCTATTTTGGTAAACTGTCTCCCCAGTCTCCCAGTGTCTGACACTTAATAGACATTTGATGGATCTGTATTGAATAATACATGGGTATTGATTAAAAATGGATGAATGAATAAAAAGCAATAAATTTCAGGTTAATATGAACAACTGGAAAAGATTGTTTTGAGGTCCTAGAATTAACCTCCAGTAATTTAACTGTGACTCCTTCATTTGTTATACTGAACATATTCCCATTCTTCACTGGCAAAGTCCTACCAGTGAGGGAATTTTTTTCTCTTTAAGAAATGTTTAGATCTTTTGGATATGAATACATTCCTTTGTCTGTCACAGAACACTGTAAGATGACCAGAACAGACTACTGTATATTCGTTTTAGTGATGAAGAAACTGATATTCAGACACTTTAAGTTTGTCAAAGTTTCGTAAATCTCTAACATTTAATTGCAACTCAGACCTTTTCCATCTTTAAAGCACTTCCTTAGACAGTGGAGGTTTTAAGAGTTAATTCTTTTTTTTTCATTAATTTTATTGGTACATTTTAGGTATACAATATGCTGACACTCATTATTGGGAATTTGTACCTTTACATAATATATCTCAGAAAGGGAAAAAATGGAAACAAAGTCTTTGTAATGGGGAGAGGTAGAGGAGTTGAACGGAGGGCAGGGGAATGGGGAAAAAAATTAGAGTTAATTCTTATGCGGTAGCAAACACGACTTGGATTTGGAAAAGAGCTAAATCCAAGTTTTATCTTGGCCACTTTCTTGATGATTATTTAATGCCTTCCTGACCCGTTTCATCCAAGAAATGGAGGAACTGAACTCATGATCTCTAATATGCCTCATAGCATGGCTGTGAACTTGGAATAGAAATGCAAAGTAAATTTTAAAAGGAAACTACAGTAGCAAAGTGTCAAGGAAAAACACAATAGTTCTCCATTTATTTAAAAATAACAAAATCAGACTGTGAAAAATATTAAAATAAAGATATACTGCAGATGCCAACTTTAGTGTATGTCTCTCTCCATATACATACACACACCAAAAAAGCCTTCCCTGGTAGAAGAAACAGTGGAAAATGAGTGTCAAGGCAGCTCAGAGGTTGAGAAATAAGTGTATTTATTTCTTCACGTTAAAAAAAAAAAAAACATCGATCACTTTCTGTGTTCTATGACCTATTCTAGGCCCATTTTATATCACCCAGGCCATCACCTGGACTAAGCCTCATGCGATGACAGTTGTCACTAGTGTGTTCCCATTACACTACAGTTTTTTAAATGGAACAAAAGGCAGGAAAGAGACTGAGCTCCGGTATAGTGCAGGAACTTGTGCAGAGATCTTAAGGTTGATTTGTGGTGCTAAAGATACCCCGAGCACCTGATTCTCCCCACAGACAAGCTATGACCTCGAGTCTCTGCTTACGCTGTAGAGAAAATCTTTATGTCAAGGTTTTTGGTTTCTGGGACTCAAATGTAGTAGAGTCACAGGAACTTTGGGAATATTTAAAAAACGGACAGACAAAAAGTTGCGACTAGAAAAAGGACACTAGAAAGAGCTACTTCTCTGTCCTCTTTGCTCTTCCTTACTGACTACAGGGAGGAGGACTAAACTATGACCTTCTGTGGGTAATTCTGTTAATTTTGCTTTTAGGAATTTTATAAATGCACGAACAGGAGAACTTGAACAGGTCACATAAAACCGGAACAGAGGCCAAATATAATTCTAATTTTGAGAATATATTAGTTCTGGTTAGCCAAATGGAAGAAGTAAGGTATCGCATCATGTTATCATTTCGGATCCTCCAAATTACAGATTGCCACTGCCTTTTACCCTTAAGTCTCTGAGCCTGGTCCTTCATGATCTTGAAAAACTCAGCCTTCACAATCATTACTTTTTCTTTATTGATGTCTTGACTTGTCTAAACCAAAGAATATCAATACACAGAGATTGTTTTTATAATTAAATTCATTTAGGTTGACTTCTCCAATCCAGCACAAATGAAGATATACCTTAATAAAAAATTATTTTATTTTGACAAATTTGATTTTTTCATATTATATAATTTCTACATGCACATAGCATTGAAGAAAAAAATTACAATATTGTGCTTTCTGAGCAGCTTCTAAATTAAAGACTTTAATTTCAAATTAATCTTCATTACCAAATATTTCATATATCACTTATAAAATGTAGAATTAAAGTTTCAAATTGATCTTCTGATCACATATAATTCTTCCTAAAATAAAGTACTTAATTATGAGTCTTTGTAGAGAAAAATCATAAAACAAAAACCATAAATAAAAATTTCATTTCTTTTTTGTTATAATGTGGATTTAAAATTTTAATTTAATCTCACATTCTCTGGCAATCACTAATATTTTCAGGTTTTCTCCCTCTTAAATACATCCACAAGTCTACATTTTCATTGCCTGTTGAGAAAGACAACGTTCAGTGTAACCTAAATATATAGGATTCAGTTTGAACACTGGTCTCAATTGCTGGCAATTCATGATTGCTAGCGTCACCTGTAAAGTCCTAAATAGTCATGATTTAGCAACCCAGGGAATGGTACAAACCTTTATTGGTCACCTCCCAAGAAACTTCAAAGAGCAGCAAATCCTCCACAGGAAGTTTGTCAGCTTCCCACTGGGGAAACCCGCTCAGGGATGTCACAGATAAGGATCGGCCTCGGAGCATTCTCCTTCCAGTCCTCAGGCACCTTGTTGAATCTTTGCTTCAATTAATTGGAATCCTGGGAGAGATGAGCTGAGACACAGAGCTTTAGAGCTGGTAGGTGTCCGGCTTTGGTAGCTTCTGGTAGGAATAACCCCGCAGAATGGAATCTCATGTGCTTCCAACAGAGCTCCCAGGGGAAGGAGAAATCTCAGCAACTGCAATGCTTCTGGGCAGGTCCAGTGAGGACAATAGCCCAGAATACTTCTGCCCAACCAACCCTGAGCAACCAGTGAAATCCTCTGGTTCAGGGATTGGGCAGGCACCCCTGGGGTAAGCTGTGCATAGCCCAAGGCCAGCCCTTTGGCCCTGTCCTTTTGCCCAAACTCCCAGACTGTCATCAGTGCTTATTTCATCATTTCCAGAGAACTCAGTATTAGTAAGTCCCCTTATAACGTCTCAGATGACAGAATTGATTGATATGAGTTTATAGCTTTAAATTCTTTTAGGTTTCCCTCCCTCTATCTTTTGATGCCTCTTTCTGGAGCCTTAAAAAAAAAATTATACCTAGTTATTTCCTTCCACACTTACAAACTGAATTTTGATGGTAAGCACAGATCCTGATTCTCCTTTCCTTAATAATTTAACAGGTTTTTTCCCCCATATGAGAAAGCATAAATCTCAGTGTCTTTGGGTATTGTTTATAAACAATGTAATTTTAGCAGCTCAATGATCATTAGTCCATATTTTAATGGGGTAGTAGAATTTAATTTTGGTCACATTTGTAATTTACTTCAAGTATTATCAAATTGATGTTGAATAATTCAGTGGATGTGAAAGTATTCAAACAAGGGAAGAAAGTTGCAAAGAACACAGGTTCTGAAATATCACCAGGATTGCACTGCATATAAATCCACACATTTGCTTTCCTATTCTATTTGTATGTACATGTGTGCCAATGTATTATGCACATACAATCCTATATTGTTCCTAAAAGGAGTAAGGACATTTTGTTTTACTTTACAGATTTAGCTTATAGTCAATATTTTTACATTATACTATACAGCAGCAGAACTGGAGCGCATATGAAGTATAATTTAAGCTGGATGCACAGGCCTATAATTCCAATTAGTTAAGAGGCTGAGGCAATCCCTTCACTCTGGGGTCAAAATGGCGGGCAGGCCTGCGGTTTTAGCATCAGGCCAGTGGCTGGATGGTATTCAGAAATGGTATTACAATCCTGCAGGATTCAATAAGCTGGCCTTAATGCTTGTTGATACAATGTACGAAGATGAAGATCTAAAAGAAGCCATAAGAAGGCTCCCTGAGAACCTTTATAATGATAGGATGTTTCGTATTAAGAGAGCATTGGACCTCAGCCTGAAGCGTCAGGTCTTGCCAAAAGACCCGTGGACAAAATATGAGGAGGATAAATTCTACCTTGAACCATATCTCAAAGAGGTTATTTGGGAAAGAATAGAAAGAGAAGAATGGGCAAAGAAGTAATCACATAGTTGAAATCTGTAGATGCAGCTGTCCTCAAAATATTTTTATGAACTTGATTAAGCCTGAAATATAATTTTAAGAATTATTTAGTCTTCAGACATCCTACTTTAAATAAATGTCTGAATAATCAAAAAAAAAAAAAAAAAGAGGCTGAGGCAAGAAGGTTGTGAGTTTGAGGCCAGGCTGGGAAATCTAGCAAGACCTTGTCTCAAAATAAAAATTATAAAAGGACTATGGATGTAGCGCTCAGTGGTAAAACATTTGCCTAGCATGTGTGAGGCCCTGAGATTGATCCCTAGTACTGTGTATATGATTTATAAGCAGACAACCAGAATTTAATTTGTTACTTGCTAATACTATTTTAGAACTTTTTATTAGGTCTTTAGCAATTTTCCATATAGGTGGTCTAATTGACTTAAGCTTGTTTTAATGACTCAAGATAAGTAAAACCGTATTTCATTATGTGACATTAATAAACACAGGTAAATCAAATACAGTATCTATGTGTTCCATGATTCAGTGACGTGTTTGAGTCTTAGCTTTATCTATACATGTAAGTTTAAGCATCCATTTGCTCGAGTTGTGAAGAAAAGATTATAAAACTAATCGAAAAAAGTACCAAAATAGCAAAGAGAGGAGGCCACGCTGTCAAGATGCCTGCCTCTTTTACACAATGATGTGTTTGTGTTACTTAACTTCTGTAGGTTCTGCAAATACAAGTTCAAATAAAACCAAATGGAAGGACAGGTTAACAAGGAGTGAGAAAGCGATGGCTGGGAGGACAGCACCTCCAGTTCACATGTCTCATCTCAGCACCCTCCATACGGGCCCTTCCACGATTGAACAGGCCACAGCAGAGCTGACTCACATTCCCCAACCTCACACCAGAGTGATTCCTTCATTTCTAGCGTATGTCCGGTGTCAAGTGCTTGGTCTGGAATGGAGTTCGGTCAGCCACTTATCTGCTATGTAACCTTGAGCCAATGTTTTAACTGAACTTTAGTTTTCTTATTAAAATACGGAGGAAATCATTTATCTAAGAGACTCTGCGCAGTGCCTGACACTATGTCAACCATGTTAGTAATGCTCAGCCTTACTTATAAGACATATGGTTGTCTATTAAATCCTTCCTGTAATGGCAGCAGTTGCCATTAGAGACCAAAAGAGTAAAACGGAAGTTACTTTTAAAATTTTTTCTGCATTGTTCTATGCACAATTATTACCTGTCCAAATACTTAATTACATAAAATAGTTTTGGGAAAATTGACTTTAGGTAAATTAATATAAATATGAGTAAATGAAAATGTTGCAGATATAAAGTAAAATAAATAGTATATCTGAATCAATTGCATATATATGTATATATACTTCTACTTTTGACGTGTACGTGAATAAAACACTAGAATAGACATAAACAAAAGTATGGAAATCTACACGAAACTTTTACAATGATTGTCATTAATTGGTAGTGATTATTCTTAATTTCTTTGTATGTGGTCTTTTGGCTTGTGTTCTACAGATTTTCTGCACTATTCAGTATCCGTACGCAGATATACGCACACAACACACGGGATAAGCAAGACAGCGTTCAAACCCTTAACCCTATCACTTCAGGATTTTATAGAGCCCCACTCGCATCGTTTTGATTTTTTGAAATTCCTGGTCCTTGGTTCCCACTTGACCTTTTTGTGTCAGGGAGCAGCGTTCTCAGTAACACGTGATCTCCTAGTGATCTCTCGGTGCCGACTTGTGAAACTTTTATGAAACTATTATTCTCAACATGAGGATGACCTTTGCCAGTTCTTTGCTTTTTACTGGTGACTACCATTTTCAAAATTGCTCCTTGAGTCAAGAGAAGGGAAATAAAGGACGCCACAGGAAATGTGTCCGTATCTTCACCTCCCCAGGTAATCTATCTGAGGTTTCCTTGTTCAGCTGTGTCTTCAGAAAAAGGTAGTCATTTATGCAATAAGTTTTGGAAAGGAAACAGAAAAGTCCTCTGGTTTTCAAATCCCTGACTATTGTTGTCTAAAATTTATACCAAAAGCATAAATGGATAAGCTGGCAGCAGAAAGGGAATGGGGTTTCTCTAAGACAGAAGCATGCTTAAATGACTCTGATCCATAAGTTCACACCCACACTTCTTGCCATTCAATGAAGAGGTGAGAGGGCAATCAGGAGAGTAAGTAAGGACTTGTATGCGGTTTCCATGGTCAGCATTCCAGTAGAGGTCACTAGATACATTTAGAAAACACACATTCGCTTTGACATCTTGGTATTTTCTTGGAAGGCTTTAGAACATCTAAGGCTTGATAAGCCTGCACCTGCATATCCAAAATAATTCAGTTAATACATTTATATAGGACCTACTATGTGCTGCTATTCTAGCTGCGGAGGATATTTTCAGAAAATGGTAGACAAGTCTCTGCCTTCGTGTGGACATAGAAATATCAATCTTGTAAATAATAGGGGCTATTTAAGGTGCTACTGTGTTTCTGGAAAAGACTGCAAAAGGCCATTGGAAAGAAAAAAGTGCTTTAGCTGAAGAGGTCAAGAAAAAAATCCCTTTGAGAAATAATATTTGAATTAGGACATAGATGATAAGGAAGTGACCACACTTGGAAATCTGGGAGAAGCAATAGCAAAACCTTTGACTCTTATGTGGACAGAAAAAAGACCCATGTGCCTGGAACTCAAGGCTTAGTGATGAATAGACGTCTGGGGAAAATAGGGTCAGAGGAAAGCAGGAAATATAGAGCAGCTGTTGGAGGTATTGGATTTTATCCTGGTTGTAAGGCACTGGGAGGCTTTAAGCAGGGCAGTTTGCTCTTTTGAAAATGGAATATCACCCCAGAGGCTAAGTAAAGAGAATTGCAAGTTCAAGGCTGGTACCACATAGGCAACTTAGTGAGACCTGTCTCAAAATAAAAAATAAAAATGGATGAGGAATAGCATAGTGGTAGAGTACTTGCCTAGCATATGTGAGGCCCTGGATTCAATCCCCAGGATCAGGGATAAGAAAAAAGGAAAAAAAAGAGCAAGAGAGGAGCCTTGGAGATTGAGATTCTAAACCTGCTTATCAGTCACATTTTCTACAATGCAAACATTTGCACCTTCTATAAGTTATCTATTTTCTTCTGAATGTTATAAAAGCAGCAGTGAAAGTAAGTTATTTAGCATTCCATCTTTTCTTTTTAAGGTAAAATAAAGTATCTTTGCTTCCCAGTGTGGCATCCCTATATACCTGTATTTCATTTCTGTGTTCATACCCATTCCATTTTGTGCCCTTTATTATGCATATGTTAATATTGTGGCCACAGAAACGGGATTAGAATGAAGAACTACATGCGATGTGTCAGGTGCTGTGATCAAGGTTGTTTTTATTAGCACATGCTTCCTCTTTGCAGTACATAATGATCACATTCATCACAGGTAATTTGCACATGTACATAACACATTTCAATTCCTTTTTTTTTTTTTGGTACCGGGGATCGAACACGGGTCCTTAGCTTGTGAGGCAGGTGGTGGAACCACTAAGCTAAATCCCCAGCCCAAGATTAATGCTTTGTTTTTGTTTCTGGTTTTTTTTGGTACCGGGGATCAAACTCAGGACCTTGTGCTTGCGAGGCAGGCGAGGACACCACTAAGCTAAATCAGTTCCTTTTTATTTTTGTCCCCTTCCTCTCTCTTTTCTCCAACAATGGTTTTTGCCCTCATGAAATTCACGTTCTAGAAGGGAAAGTACTTACTACACTAATAATGAA